TCGCCCCCCCCCCCCCCCCCCCCCCCCCCCCCCGCCCCCCCCCCCCCCCCCCCCCCCCCCCCCCCCATCCGGCGAATCATTTTACATTGGAAGGGAATGAGGATAGGCCTTGTGCGGACCGGATCGTGGTACTGGAAATCTTGAGGTGCTATGGCCGGCGTTGAAAACAATGGGTGAATGCCATTTAATCTGTGGACATGACCGTCCATCGTTAAGCAGTCGCGGGCGTCGCGGCACTAAGTGTCGTCGATCTATGGCTTCTGGGAAAGTAACCTGAAGAATAGGCACTAGATTCAATAATCATAATACATGACGGGTAAAGCCTGGGGAAGAGCGCACTCGGGTTCGAGTATCCCCCATATGCTGTCTCTAAATAGAAGCTAGGGTTCTTCCTACGAAATATTGAGTCGAAGAACTACAGGTCTGATTACATGTTGGCATCGGCGCCCGGATAGCATCAAATCTGTCTGCCAAACATGAGTCTACAGACATATAAGATGATCAAATCGGCAGCTAATAACCCGTATTGTCCGACAACTTGCATTACCATATCATATTATTGCTTTGCGATGATGTCGCTTCTCTCGAGTATCACAAGATTTGACCCTTATTTTCTTTGGGAAAGGTAAACATTAACAGTATTGATCTCTTTTTCGACGTCTGAAGGTCGGACATCTGTTTCATCCCACCAATGGGTGGGATGATGGAGGAGCCCGATCATCCGTCCAGACGCTGCGGGGTGGTTTGCGGCCCCATCCCATCTCCTTTTCTCCGTTTGTTTCAAAGAAGCCGTTGAAACATTGCAGGGAAGGCACACCTATCGTCCGCTGGGGCAGCATGCCGTCTCGCCGCCCTGTCTAATCGCCCGCTCTTCACGCCGCTGTACGTGGGGTACAAGGTAATTAGGCCGAAGAGTTGCTAGAGGGGGGGAATGCAATGAAACGGCTGTGCCTGGTGCTTGGACGCTCACCTGCATGCCAGCACGGGAAACAAAACCAACCCCCCCTGTGGGCGGCTGCTGACACTGTACTATGTACACATTCAGCTGAGATGAGGTCAAGCGCTAACTGCTGCTGGCATGGTTGTGTATCGGTTAGTGACTGGAGGACGGGTCCTGATCTGATCTCCAGGGTGGGAGGACTGTTAAAACATCCGACGGCACCGACAACACAGATATTGTTACGATCGGAAAGTATCGCTAGATGTCACCTTCTGGCGGCAGTGTCCTATTGAGCTGAGGTTGAGTTCCTAGTACCATTGGCCGGTATAGGCAATTGTGTGAGTCCCCATCTCGCCGTCATCTCTACATTCCTGATTCGGCGTGATTTTCGCTGAGTAGTAGCAATGCGGAACGGCAGTGCTGGCGCCTGTCTGCTCAGGGGCGACAAATCTCCGTCTCGCATTGCGATAACTCCCGAACATACCACTTTCGCTAGGTGTCAAGCGCCGTTGTAGATTCATAGATTGACCGACGTGTAGATTATATCAAAGCCAAGTTAGCTCAAGTGTAACGTATTTATACTACATCACCTGAAGCACTAGGATTTTCCGGCTGGGTTACTATCAGGACTCACCATTCTACCCCTTTATAAGAGATAAATTGAAACGGCAACTCTGTTGCGAAATGGAAGGAATAATGTGCGTTGCCAGGGGTTCGCTAAAGAAGGATGCGTGTGGTATATGCTCTGCGCTTTCTAATTACCTAGGCACATATAGAACCCTTGAAGACAGTTAAGGTTGAATTCAGCGGAAGTTCGTGCAATCATTTCAAGTGCTATTTGCCCAACGTATCCTCTAAACCATATTAGATAGATGGCACTGGATCCACTGCCATGCCAGTAGACTGGGAGAGCTTTACTGACAGTGTTAGGGGACTGGAGATGAGGACTGGGGTCCAGAGATGGGGCAAAAAAAATCTAGATGCCTTGTATATAGCCGGAGGGAGTCTGAATGCCTTCAGGCTTCTGGTCCCTTTAGATTTTGTGCCACAATGAGAATCTTACTATATACTTCGTAGAACCTTCCCTTTCTTGTCGTAACTCACTAGTCAACTCAATGCCGCTTGTAATGTTGAGCCTACTGGTGTTATTCCCACTTGCTTTATGCAGCTATTCTCTAGGAAGTCTACGTCATTCTGCAATTGTAAGCAAGAACAGTGTAGTTCTTGCTCTTGTTGTCTGATATTTCTTCGTTGTCTTTTCATCTTCTCTTACGATAGATGGACGATCACAGTAGATACAGTGTAGAAGAATAGAACACACATAATAACAAGGAACTCTGTTTCGCAAATGCTGTCTATAACACCCATACAAGTATTTTAGGGAAAGGAGAACTAACGCTGCAAACGCCGGCCGCTATGCAAGATCAGACAATCAAGCCCGGATATAAGCCATGTACGTAATTAAATATTCAGCAGACACTGATCTCACCATGGCCGAATGTCTCTTGAATGCAGGTGGCCACCCTATGACACCCATATATTCCTTAGGGGAGATATTGGGACCCGCAGGGCACAGTCCCCGCCATTATGTTCATACCTGTGAAGGCTCTTCTCTCGGATGCTTAGAAACTGGGAGTAGATTATGGCTGGCGGGTGGCTCGTTTTGCTCGTCCCAGAATCGAGTGGTCTTATCCCTGCCCTTGATCATTCCATACACGTCGAAGGGGTCAAGGAGTGTTGCTACGAAGCCACGATCTTCCTTGTATCCCGGACCGAGGATCTCCGTGATACCATCTATAGAATTCCACCCATGTTAGCCTATACTCGACGTGCCTGGACATTCTATAACCTTCCAAGTGGTTATCCAAGGTGGGTATGAGGAAAAGCAGGGGGAAAACGTACCCTTAGCTAGGTACAGTTTAGTACTTTGCGGCAACCATTGGCGGGGATGGCGGACATTGAGCAAAATGTTGTTGATCAACATCAAGGCAGCCTCAAAAACGTAGAAGTACCACTCGTAGCGTAGGATTGGACTCTCTGGCAGACGCTCGGAGCCTGTGAATGTGACTGTAGTCTCGATCTCAAAGTATTCGACAGTCCGGTAAATGGTACGCGCGAAGATGATGGTACTACTGATGTAGAGCGTGACTAATGGCTGGTTCACCTTGGTGTGGTTGATTCCGTTCTTGCGGCAGCGCCAGTAGAATGTCGTTGCCAACGTGACAAATAGGAAGATGACGACCAACTGAAGGATCAAAGCCACTTTGAAGAGCGTGTGGCCAGTATCTTGAAGATGTTTTGGGAGAGTTACGTTAGCCACGTAGGAAGCGGCAACGCCGTTCAACGCCTGTTCATTTGAGAGGATATAGTCAGCGGTGATGATTTTGCCGAGCGCATTGAGTTGAAGGGAGATAGAATGGGTGGAAAGGTATCAGATTGTGGAATCAATGAGTTAATATTAGCCTTACCTCGATAAGAGTAGATATAGCAGCGAAAGTAGTTAAGACACGGCCGGGATGAATGGGCGAGCAGTGAGGGACAAAGTAGAGTATACGGCCGAGAATATAATAGTTGCCCAGTTCGTACAATGGACTATGGACTTATTAGTCATACGTTGACTTGAAATCAGGGAATAGCGCAAGTTTGGAGAACGAAGGACATACGGAGCGGCGTAGGTTAGAACAATGCTCACGATATACTTGATAATGTTGCGATTGTCGTAGGACCCGAGGGCCCTGGCGATGAAACCACCGACGAATAGAAAAGAACAAAAGACGTATAAACCGGTCAAACGCCAGCTGTGAAAGTGTCTTTAGGGGCACCATTAGCTCGATTTGAACACAATGACCGGGTCAAGGCAGGAAGCACGTACACTGCTTGCCAGGCATGTATCGCACCAGTGGCAGAGAACGCCACAGCAAAAGCTATGGCAGCCGCCTTGCTAGGCTCATATATCCATATGTTAAAATCCACGTACTCCCCGTCGGCCATCGTGGTTGTTTTGAGTTGAGGGTTGGAACTGGAGTTCCTCTCGATATGGCACGCCGAATCACAGTAGGAGGGAAGGCCCCTGGTTATTCTGATAAGCTCCCCAAGGCTCTCTGATTTATATTGAACGTATTCGGAGTGTATGTTAACACAGTCACGGTGTGTTACGGATGATGACAAGAGACTTTTATTACTAACTAACAACCTCATAAGAGCGATTAGGGCACTCTTTATAACAGTTCTCACCTCGCCCAAGGGCAGCTGGATTATGCCTAGGCCTTTTCAAAGATCTATTCTATGTCACTATGGTACTACTATAAACCGCCTTGCTTCGTTCCTCTACGACTAGTGAAAAGGCATTCTGATGTAAGTCAACGGTTGGCCAATCGCATAGTGTTGAAGAATACGGCGTATCCACCGAGCGCGGGCACTGCCGTCCCACATGTATGCACATCAGGAGGCTAGTACGGTAGGATTATTCGTCTCTTGGCCGTTCCATTTCCCCTACCTGGCTAGATCGACAGACCCAATGTGGCAGTGCGTGGCTCAACAACGTATTTCGCGTTGCGTTTTTATTGGATGAAGCGTATTTCGGGTTCTTTGGAGGCATGAAGCACCAGTTCGAGAGGTTACCTAGGCGAGCTATGTAGTCATCGCGCCTCATTAGCGTAGGTAGATGCTGACGTATGGGTCAACGGTGGCCAAGCAATACCCATAGCAATTAATGATTCAACATGAGTGCCTCGAGTGCCTATGGTGCGTATCCACACTTCGATTTTACAGACTCCAAGTCTCATATTGACGGAGGTGACATCTCGCCGCCCAGAAAACTACACCGCGTGTCGCTTTAACTCCTGCCCCGGCGACTATTTCGATGTGATCTATTTTACAGAGACAGAAGAGCTTGGCATAATGCTTGTCTAAAACTACGCCCTAGTTACGTGAAGAGCCCTCTCGGAAAAGACCTGTTGACAGTCATTTCACTCCGATTCCGGAAGGCTGAATCACCTTCACGAACCCATAATCATTCAAACAAAGGACAATACAGGCCAGGTTGAGTCCACGAAAAAAACCAACGAAACTTGGGCGCAGAACATATTAATACTCCAGCAGACCTCACCTGATAGTAACCGAGAATCGATATGTAGGCATATACCTGAATAAATCTAATAGCACCTCGTATGTGAAGCATTGGTCATGGCTCCACATGTGGGTTCTGGACACGAAATGGTTCACTCTATTTCAACGAAAGCCTACAGGTGCGCAGCTATGGCAATTGTAGCATGAACGCCAACTTGAAGAAGGGTATATACCTGAGCACATCACAATCCACAACCGTACCTTCCAATTACAATCAAATATGTGACAATGATCTTTGTCCAACCAATGGCCCAACTCCGAGATCCTATGCAAACCACGAAATGCCCGCTATATTTCACTTACAAGAATTTCATTAAAAAGTGAGAGGAGGTTGCCTTTGCTTTCAGTCGACCTCCCAACTGTCATCATCATGATTGCTATCTCGTTTCGATCTGACTCTACGCCGTGTGCTGGTATGGGTTAAGTTGTCGTTGATAGTCGAACTGCGGTTAGTGAGTGTGTAATCTTCACTATCGCTCAACTCGCTGAATTCGCCATCCGAGTAATAGTCCCATTGCACCGGGATCTCTTCGCCCGCCTCGTTGAGGCCGAGCACGAGACCCCTCCATTCACCCGCAATAATCTTGGCAGTTACCTGAAGCATTAGTTTTATGAGGTAGCTGGGCACGCCTAGTAGAACCCCCAAAATCTTTTGCACAATGGAGGTGGGAACCTGGTGAGCGGTTGCGAAATGATTCTGTGGCGTCTGCTTGGGAGCGCCAGAAAAGAGGTTGGCCGCTGATGGCAACGGCGATAGAGCTGGGCGACTAATGGAGAGGCTACTGGCATGTGGTCGTCGATGCGTTCGTAGCTTTCCCTTTGACGGATATAGCGGTGACTCTTCTGGAGATGAGCGTGACGCTCTAGGGCTGCTCTCGGTGTTGACATGCTCATCGGTCTTTGCGTCCATGACACGTTGAACTTGTGGGGTAGGTGCCGCAGTATCATTGGAGATGACTGATGAGGCTGCATGCGGATTTAGCTCGGATAACTCGGCGCTTTCAAGTTTTAATGAGACGTCTCTAGCGCGTGGCGATGCTGCGAGTGGTGTGGTGTGAGAACGCCGTGGCTGCACATTACAGAAAGGACCGGCGGATACACTAGAAGAACGGCCTCTAGCTAGAGCTGGCGGTGAATATGATCGTGTATCATTTGCTGTATGTGGGCGGCCACTGAAAGAACGCCCAGCAAGCATTCGAGTCATCCGCTTTCGTGTGAGGTTGACAGGCGCAACACGCCCGGACCCTTCAAATGATGGGCCATCTTCGCCATCCTCACCATTCGAGAGGTGTTGATTAGACATGATATGGTTGTTCTGATGCGAATTGGAAGCAGTTTGCTTCGTATCCTGAGATATTTCGGTAGAATCAGGGGTATCCGGTTTTTGGCATGCCTCTCTTTCCAATCCTACTTTTCCAGCAGGATGATTGCTCCGAGTATATATGCCATGTTCCAATAACTCTACGTGTTCGTTGTCTACATCTGGGAATGGATGGTGTATTGGTCCAACGTTCCTGGGAGTACCAGCGTTCCCATGTTCATCAACATCTGATATATGAGCTTCTGCCCAGGACCTAAATGCATCTTCGTCGCGCGGTGGTATAGACCCAAGGGACCAAAACTCAGAGACGTTTGTAAGTTTGCCCCTACTAATTGCAATGGGCTCATGGGCCGGCGGTGACAGTTCAGAGAAAGGAGAAGATATTAGATTCTTTCCCTCAGCCGTCCATGCCTTCCTTATAGGGGTCTCGGGAGGATCTGGAAGTTCGACTGTAAAACTTCGTTTGAACGGGCAAATTGTCTTTTCAAAAAGAAGAATCTTGTCAAAGACATCTCGCAGCAACAGAGCGCGTAGTATGTCGTCAGGATGGGCGACAGGGAGCTCAATTCTCCAGTACTGAGGTCGACGTATTTGCAGTACAAATCGACTATTGTCCTCGTGGATGCACCAGCACTGACTTTTGGGAAGGATAGGTTGGAGAGCAGAGCCACAGCTGAGAAATGCGACAGAACCCGGCGCACGGTAGATTCGAAAGGCGCCTTGAGAACTTGTTATCAGATACGTAGCGAGGTAGTTGACATCGACAAGAGACACCTACCGACAGCAATGGTCCGCTCCAGCCCAGAGGAAGGTGGCAGAGTGCCGGGCGGGACATCTTTATCCGAGGACCCGGTGAATGATCTGGTGTAGTCGCGGTGACTCGATGTGAAGGATATGATCCTGACCGAAGGATGGCTGTACAAAGTTTCCACTGGGTCTTCAGGAACTGCATTGGATACGTCATGCGAGGTAGCAGACATAGAAGAAGATGATGTAGATCCCTGTAGCGCAATCGAGGTACCTACCGGGGCGGTCATGACCCGGCGAGGCTGAGGAATACCTGGCCTATTTGAGGCGAACTCGGGAGAATCCATGTTGTAAGTTCAGAGCGCTTAGAGCCGCCGTCACAAGAATACCAACTAAACTCAGGCGAGAGTGCCGCAGGTAGGAACAAAGAAGCGCATTCTAAGTATGTTTTATAATCATGACGAAGGGATGTCCAGAGGCAGCAAGCAAGCTGGCAGTTGTACAAGGCAAGGCTTAAGGCTGGAGCAGTGTCGGCTGAATTGACTGGACGATGCTGGTAGAACGGACACGACGTCGGCGCCTGGGGGGTGAGTCGTCTGGGGTTATACCATTAGTATTAGTATTAGTATTGCCGGAGGACCGTGCCAGTTATGTCGACGGTCAACCGATGGTGGTGTAATAACTCGCGAACTGTCTCAGGGCAATGGCCGGACTTTGGATCTTTCGAGATTGGCAGACCGTAAGTTTGGGTCAGGTACCATCGCGGGTGCCCACTTGCCAGGTAGGTACCTAGATGGCTGCCTATCTAGCTGCATATGCCTATAGGTTGATTAGCTAGAGTCGTAATATGCATTTAGCGAGGAAGATGGCCAATGCGGGCGCGTTGTCCCAATCGGGAGGTGTGCCTAAGGTACCTCCCGAGCCTACCTTATAGTAGGTACCTATGTACATATATGTAGGTATGGTATGACGAAATGTCGTCATGGCCGCCGTGGCTACCAAATGCGTGATTGATACTACCGGTACCTATTGTCATCCTTTGCAACCTAAGCATACCTAGGTAGTATCGTCGTGTCTGTTCTCGACCTCTTTCAACACGCTGGACAGTGGCACTACAGGAACACCATCATGGCCGAATCCGATAGCCGTGTGATTGATAAAGACAAGGTGAAGGATGCATTTGATCTTTCCCACTTCGACATCAACGCCGTCCTGCGAGGCGCCCAGCTTACACTAGTTGGTGGTACGTTTCCGCCCCTTCGCTCACCGTTACGCATCTTCCATGGCATCGCCTTGGAATCTATATCGGGACGGCATCTAGCCGAGGGATTCCCTTCAGCTGTACAGTTTAGTCACATGGGTTCAAACTTACATGACGCATAATAGCCCACAGAGCTCTCCAAAACCCTGCCATCTTCACCAATGCCCATTACAAGCAGGCCGCCATAGCTGTCGGAGCCGGTCTTGCCATTCGGCTAGCCATTGCCATTCCAGTATGTTTGTTACCTACCAGCCTCGCGCCACTCGCCTCCTACTAACCGCTGCCATCCCAAACCTCCAGGTGGTCGGCATCAAGTTTGTCCTGGTCATACTGTCATATATAGCCAATCTCGATAAAGCAAGCTGGGATGACAGTCTAGTCAATGGCCTCGACCTCCTAGCCAATCATGTTCTACAGGTCCCACTATTCCTCATGACTTTGATGCGATACGTGACCCCCACCCTAGATGATATGTAAGTAGTGGCGCCGTATTGATGGGCAACTGTCGCCTAACTGGATACTCATAGGTTCATGGATTCTTTGAACTGGGTTGATAAAACCTATGTATCAAAACACAAACACGAAAGCCCTGATCATCTTCGGGGAATGTACTATCCTAATCTCGTTCATTATAAGCAGAGGGATGGGAGTACGCATTCGAGAAGCTCGACTGAGGCTATCACAATGTTCCTGTGGCGGTTCGTTCGCAAGGCCGCCATCTCTTTGGCCGTCTTTGCCCTGTCCTACATTCCTTACGTTGGCAAGCTAGTCCTACCTGCGGCAAGTTTCTATACCTTCAACAAGGCCGTTGGTCTTGGTCCTGCAGCCTTCATCTTCGGCACCGGTATCTTCCTTCCTAAGCGCTATCTCGTCATCTTCCTGCAGACTTATTTCGCATCTCGCAGCCTTGTTCGTGAATTACTGGAACCCTACTTTAGTCGAATAACGATGAACAAGGAGCAGAAGAGGAATTGGTTTCGAAGTCGAGAAGGGTTACTATTTGGCTTTGGTGTTGGCTTCTATACCCTCCTGCGAGTGCCCTTGCTGGGAGTTTTGATATATGGGATCGCAGAGGCCTCGACGGCTTATCTAATTACCAAGATCACAGATCCTCCGCCGCCCCCGAACGCGACTGCGCAGCAACAAGAGCAATTTATTGCTAGTCAAGAAGCATGGCGAAATAAGCACGAGTTCTTAAGCCTGTCCCTGGCCAATCTAGACACTGCATTAGGTGATCATCTAGGAGAGCAGACCAGACCAAAAAAAGCTTGACATGTGATCAGGAACGTCTTGTAAAACTGGCATTGCACTTAGATAGTTAGCATAGAAAGAAGACAGCACAGCTAGATATTTACTAGTCATTCTCTAGTGCCTCGTCTAAAGGCTCTTTCTGTAACCACACTATCCAATCTCTGGTTCGCCACAACTAGTATCATTCCAGGGTATGTCGTCAACTTGGCACTTTCCGGTTGGAAGAATGAAATCCTGCACCAGCAACTCCCATATGGGCAGGTTAAGCGTGGGGAGCTACATGGGCTGGATGACTGATAAGACGTTAGAATCGGCCGAAGACTAGACACGCCGCATCCTATTGGTCATGGTGCGTGTTACTACACATCATTTATCAGGCACGATGACCACCACTTATCTTGAGGATGCGGGGTAGATTAAGAAGATGGATATCAAGCGCGGGGAGACACCAGAGGTATATTTTATGGAATCATGCCTCTCCTACTTGGCATCTTGTTCTGTGCTACCCGATATTAAGCATTTGTCGGCTACTGTGTAGAACCGAGTGCTTGTTAAAAGATACTTGGGAAGAAAGCAACAATGGGGAGGTCCGAAATCCGTACTGTTGGGAAAGTAGACCTAGAAAAATCAGCCTCGACGCAGACAAACTTGCATGTAAGTCTCGGTTTGTCGCTCACATGTTCGCACAGCTATGTTACTGCTGACGCTACCGTGGCTGACCAGTTTAATATCAGAACCGATGGCATCCGGACAGTATGTCAATATATTTGCTCCCCCGTAGTGTTAGCTCAACTAATCGTATACAGTTCCTTTCGCGGGAAAGATCAAGGACGGCGAGACAGTTAAGATTGAATGCGTGGATTGGTGAGTGTCTCTTACGAATCCCATGCAGCCGAGACATATCGTCCTCACCGTTCGTAGGACTGGTGGCCAAATTGGCAACAACGACAGTGCAGATGATGTTCGAAATGTAGATCTCACGCGCATCCATTATCTCACAGGCCCATTTGAAATTGAGGGGGCAGGACCTGGGGATCTGCTATTGGTAGAGATTATGGATGTCCAGGTATGTTGTTTTAGAGCCGGCAATTTAGCGAGAAAGATATAGGGGCGAGAGACTTAGGATGATATATCGCTTCTCGAGGGTGCGCCCATATACTGACCAGACCACCCCCAGCCTTTCGAAGATCAACCCTGGGGTTTCACAGGAGTCTTCGATAAGTCGAACGGTGGCGGCTTCCTCGACGAGATCTACCCATCGGCAGCAAAAGCTATCTGGGACTTCGAAGGCATATTCTGCACCTCACGACACATCCCGCACGTGAAGTTTGCCGGTCTTATTCATCCAGGTATTCTTGGCTGCGCGCCTTCTGCCGATGTCCTTGAAACTTGGAATAAGCGTGAAGCAGATCTCATCGCCGCAAATAAACTCGAAAGGCAGGTCGCTCTCCCCCCCGAACCGACGAATGTGCACGCCGGCTCTGCAGATTCGGAGCTGAGAGAAAAGGTTGGTAAGGAGGGCGCGAGGACAGGTAATATTTCCCGAATTTATTCTATCCGCCTCGTTTCTAGGTGTTCGAGATGTGCTGGCAGGTAGACTTTTACCAGCTTTCGACACAATCTACGCTGGGGATGCTTCCGCTGATCCGAATGGTTGCAGTCCCCGGCCGGCCTGAACACGGCGGAAATTGTGACATTAAGAACCTCAGTCGTGGTAGCCGCGTCTACCTTCCTGTTCATGTGCCTGGCGCTAAGTTCAGTGTCGGTGATTTGCATTTCTCGCGTGAGTCCCCCATCAGCCACACTTATATACCCGAGAATTGCGGAGACATGGAGAAACTTACACGACATGAAAACAGAGGGAGATGGAGAGATCTCATTTTGTGGCGCTATCGAAATGGCCGGAATAATTACAATCAACTTCCAGGTTGTCAAGAGCGGCATGGCAGATCTCGGGCTTAAATCTCCTATATATTTACCAGGCCCTGTGGAGCCACATTTTGGCCCCAGCCGGCAGATTTATTTCGAAGGGTTCTCTGTCGATGAGCATGGCAAACAGCACTATAGTAAGTCGCGACGGTGCAAAGTTTTGGCCCAATACTGACAATGGGGTTTAATCGCAAACAGTGGATGTAGCGGTGGCTTACCGACAAACGAGTCTACGTACGTACCACCTCACAATATACCAGAGCAGTAGAGCGGCGTATTTAGCTAACGGAGCCCTAGGTTGTATCGAATACCTGGGTCGCTTTGGATATAGTCCCTATCAGGCTTACTTGCTGCTGTCGTGTGCTCCCGTTCAAGGTCATGTAGCAGGCATTGTTGATATCCCGAATGCCTGTACTACAATGGGCCTTCCGATGGACATTTTCGACTTTGACATTTCGCCTTCGGCCCCAGTCAAGGCGCTGAATATGGGTTCTTGTGCATTCGAGACGGGTGTGATGGAAGGTCTGGTTACGGCCGGAGGGAAGAATAGCGAGCATAGCTTTGGGGGAGGACTGACGTACAAGGGTCAATGAAATGTGTTGTGAAACGTGGTTCGCCTTGTTGCTCATGTCATTTAGGTTACAAATGGTGTCCGTCTGTCCCGATGTCTATTTATACTGGGGCTTGTGGCTGCAGCTTTATCCATAATGTATCAACTTTCCAGAACGTGCCTTCGCACACTTAGCCACCAAGTAGTTATATCATAAACTAATGACTTGGCTATAGATTATCTGGCAGGATAGAGTACATGCTTGCCTGCCTGATCTACGGCTGACATTGATCTTGTAGATATGTCGACCACTAGTATTAAGCATACCTAGATAGTCAGAGTGACAGGCTGAATTCCAGCATGTTGGGAAGCGGCTAGCGAAGAGTACTGGTGATAGATAGTGATTCGAAAGTGGTGCATATGTGTTGTGAACCGAAGCAGCTTCTTATTTGCGAATATGCCCTTTGGATAAACAAATAGGGAGTCTTGTACACTACTAGGTAGCTCATAGGCACACATTTGGTGCATATCCATCTCCCTATAACTCGGTACCTAATCACGCACCCATGATAAGCAGAAAGAGCCTAGATCTAGCTAAACTAGCACAGTCGCTAGCAGACGGCTATAGTAGGTTTGATGATATGGGTAGGACACATGGATTATGACACCGACATTTCTTGAGAATATGACCACCAAGTATCTGGAAGGTCAAACAGCCCAGGATTGGGAGCGTGTGGAATGAATTATGATATACTTATATGCACATACACACTTAAAGTACACCGAAGTTCACATTAATTCGACTGATCATTTAAAGCAGGTATTCCTTTGTCAGTAGACGTGACTACTTACTTGGGTAGAGACAGAGGTCTGGAGCAGTTATCTTAAAACATAATAATAGTATACATATTTCATTGATATAAGAAACGAAGATGTGGGATGCTGTGATTATACTTTGAGTGTGGTGATTCTTTAGACACATGGCAAGCATGGTGTCGAAGGGGGCAGAGTAAGAATAGTGGATAAATGGTGAAAACGAAAAGACAATACTACCAATTTTATCATCCTCTAATCTCTACAGATGCATATGAAACGGATAACGGCGGGAAGAATACATGTTAAGTAGGTACAAACCTACTCTATTAGCTTAGTTGGACATGGGATTTAAAAGTTAATAAACCTGTACCGTGTATCATCATGTAGAGGTAGTATTTGGGCGTTTCCCCCCTGCTTCCGCGCATGCCAGCAGTTACCTGACCTACCATGCTGTGCATTAGGAGTTGTGGTGGCGATGCGAGTGGCACGCAGAGAGACCTATTTTGTCACTACCACGGCCTGTCTTCGTTTGGGTACGCCTCCTGTTCGGCAACCGTAGAAGCACTACCTCTCCACCGAGTTACGTATACGAACAACACCGCATGTTTTAGCCGGGTGCGTCGTGATATACCCACGGCTACCAAAGTTGCAGCGGAGCTGCCACAGCAGCTAAGACCATCATCTAGGGGAGAATTAAAGGCAGTAGGAGGTGGGCAACGCAGCAATGCCTCATCTCACGCGCTAAGGCTTCCAGACCTCACCGGTCCGGGCTACCCTTCTCCTCGCATATGCCCATCTATGTATACAGTAAGTTGGGTTACGGGTAGCATAGGTTTCCTTTTTCTGGTTAGGCGGCAAGGTCGGTTTTCCACACATGCAGGGCATTCTTCGTCCCTCCAAGTGGCTTGCTTAACCAATGACCGGCAACAATTAGTAATACGTTACCACCATGCCGAATCATGCCCAAGTAATACAGGATAGTATAGCAACTCTTCTCGTGTCACTTTGGCGACTGATGCTCGGCGTTAGTATGGTTCTGATAATACGCTGGAGTCTTTAAATTAGGAAGGGTTGGAGTCAACGGGCCAATGATAGAACCAGAAACAGCACCATGTCCCTTGGGCAACGAGAAAGAAGAACATGCATGTGAAAGAAGGGTGCAATGAGTTAGTGTAAGTTACCAGAACGTACCTATCTTCGTGTATGCCACGGAGGTAGGTAAGTAGACAGGTATGAACCCATGATACATACATACCCAGGTATAACTTGGCACCAACAGTGAGTGAGTCTTGATGCGTAGCTAGGTATGCTTGTGATATAGAGTAAAGCCAAATATATTTATTCATTTGTGTACCTAACCTACCACCCTTTCGTCTACCAACTCATCTCAACCAACTTGACTAGATACATAGTAATCAGACATGGAGATCTACATGGTGTGTAAGTAGGTATCTATATATACTGTATATTTACTAGTTAGTAGGTATATATATATATATATACACCTGTGTGTGTGTGTGTGCTTATGTGCGTATAAAGATAAAACCCTCTCCCCCCCCAAAAAGCCCCCCATATACCTATATCAAGTCATGTACCTACTTGAAGTTCAAGTTCAAAGACAAGACAGTTTCATAGCAATGATATCCTGCCACAGTATTAAGTAGTGAGAGAGCATTGTGACTATCAAGACGGTAGAAGTGGTTGATTGGCCAGGGATGACGGATCCCCGCATCCTGGAGATCTGGGTGAGGCCCTGTTGGCGAGCCCCATCAGTGCCTTGTGGGCAATTCGAGAGCAAAAGCAGACAAAAGCGACCAAAGCGATAAAAGCTGGGCGGGCCCATAAAAGACATGCCACTTTCAGTGCCACCTTCAAGTGCCAATAGCGCCACCAGTCTACTACCTACATACCTACCTAATACCTACCATAAGTACTACCTATGATACTTTACGTAAACTACCTACATAGGTACATACTATAATACATAAGGTTAGGTACCTACCTACCTACATAACATACCAAGGGTTTTACAGCACCACCAACCAGCATTCCCGCTGCCAGCGTCACCACATTGTTGCCTCGTAAGTTTCTACATGTACAGTATATATCCGCATGAGATGGGTATTGGAAACATACATAAGGAAGAACATCAACCAGGCCAACCAGACCAGCCAACCAACCATGACCGGTGGCATATTTACATGTGGCAATGGGGGCCAACGTGTGGTTCGCCCACTACTCGAGTAGGTACCTAAGGTAAGTAAAGTATGTACCTATTAAAAAAGGTAAGTACCTACCTATGTAGGTACTTAATCTTGATCTGTATTGGAAGAATGAGATTGATTGAGTCTAGACTGCCGAACTACCAAGAACCTTGGAAGATTACCGGTAGTCCAGATCTGCCGGTGCGGGATGGGACACCAGTACTGCACACCAGTACTGCACCAGCAATCAATCAACCTCACCTCTTCATTCACAACCGTCGCATTCGTGTCCGCGCTACAGCCGGGCCCCAAAAACATCGCCGCCCCCTTCCTCTGAATCTACTTCGACGTATTACTTCTAGGTAATCCACTGCTTGTCTTGTCCCTTCGAGCCTTTTAAGACGCAACAAGCCGGTACTGTTTGTTGCCCACCCACCCTCGTTCTACCCTCGGTCTCGGTCTCGGCCATTCTCTACCTCGCTGCTCTCGCTTCTCTCGCTTCTCTCGCCTCCCTCATTGCTGCTTCGAGTGTTACGGCGAGCATTCAACGGCCCCAGCCTGTGTTACCGTCGTCGTCGTCGTCGTCGTCGTCGTCTTCGAGCCACTCGCCTTCCGCCCATATCGACCATTGCCAGAGACATTACATTGCATCACATTACATTACGTCTTACCATATCTCTAACAAAGTTGCCCACCGACTCCCGTTCATGCGCCCGTCTACCCTGATCCACCTCATGTGTTATACCATACCCCTCTTTCCTCGATATTGACGACGCCCGCCGTCGTTCCGATCACAGCCTGAGGTATCCGTTCGTGATTATTGCATAAGATAGATGCCACACCAGGTGACATTTCGTGCATGCTCTAATCTTCGCCCCCTCACCATCACGAGAGTGTAGTCATATGCGGCAGAATGAATAATTTCTTCGGTAGTCAGCTGTCACAGGAGGAGCTGCAGCGCCTCCAGAGGTCTCAGTCAGGACATCCTCTAAGTGCGCAGCCACCCCCCCAGTCGGCTCGATATGGCACAGTTCCCGGGCCTCCCGCAAATCCAGACGTCGCCATGATTGGCGCCGCAGACTCCATCGACGACATTGTTCAAAACAATTCGGCCGAGCTTCGTCGCCGGAGTCTACCGCAGCCGCATCCGCATTTTCAGCCTCACACGGCGCAGGCTGATGCCGACCGGAGGATGTCTATGATGGAGTTCGGGGGTGGTGACGGTTTGTACCACGAGTATCGCTATGGCGCGGTGCCAAATTCTCCAGTCGACCCCATGAACTCTGGGTTTCCGTCTCTCCCTGCAGAAATATCAGGACCCGAAGCCACTGCCGCTTTCGCCCCCCCCACCATGCTCACAGATGACTTTTCCAACTTGTCTCCAGACATGATGGGGAATATGATTGCTTTCTCCAACATGAACATGGGACAAATGGACATGGGTCAGATGGCTGCCGGTGATCCATCTATGGCCATGTACCCAGCACCATCCATATCTAACACCTTCTCCCCAGTGGATCCCACAGATTTCAATATGGGTTTACAAGATGCCAATGCCATGGAATGTACTCCCAGCGGTAACGGACCTATAGCCTCGGTTGATGGTGACGCGACTCTCATAGACGTGCCGCCTCAATTCCCTCAGTCTAGTCAAACCCCGTCACAGCAGGGCGTTGTCGGCATGGAGAGAATGAGTGGTTACCCGTCTGGCATCTCATCGCAGCCTTCGGCCCAAATGTCGGCCCAGAATGTGGTCTCGTCAGCACCTAGCTATCAGCCATCACAGGCAAGCGCCGTCGGGGCGGTGAGAGACGAATCTGTCTCGCAGCAGCAGGCCAGCCAAACTCGAAGTTTGGGACCTCAACCTAACCAGGATGAAAACAAAACAATTTACTCCAAAAGCGGTTTCGATATGTTGAAAGCTCTATGGAAAGTGCATACGAGAAAGAAACCTCAGGTTCACCTAGGCGCCGTTGATATGTCTTGTGCCTTCGTTGTCTGCGATCTAACCCAAAATGACTGTCCCATTATATATGTTTCGGATAATTTTCAGAACCTTACTGGCTACAGCAGACACGATATTGTAGGTAAGAACTGTCGATTTCTACAATCCCCCGACGGTCTAGTCGAAGCTGGAACTAAGAGAGAGTTCGTCGATAATGGTGCCGTGTACAACCTGAAAGTCAAGATAGCTGAGTGCAAGGAAGTTCAGCAAAGCTTGATCAACTATCGGAAGGGTGGTAAGCCATTCTTAAATCTATTAACCATGATTCCCATTCCTTGGGACAATGAGACCGACTTCAGATACATCATTGGCTTTCAGATTGACTTGGTTGAATGTCCGGATGCGATTGCTTCATCTCAAGGATATGGCACGATGAAGATTGATTACAAACAAGGCGAGGGTATGACACAGTACATTTGGAACCCCCCTCCTTCTAGTCAATGGGAACCAGAAAATGGCCAGACACTTGGGGTTGATGATGTATCCACCCTTCTGCAACAGTACAATCCGAAAGGGACCGGCTCGGACTGGCATAAACAATCCTGGGACAAGATGCTTCTGGAGAACGCTGACGACGTAGTTCATGTGCTATCCCTCAAAGGCCTGTTCCTTTATCTTTCACCTTCCTCCAAGCGGGTTTTAGAATACGACGCCGTGGAACTTGTGGGAACTTCTATTTCATCAATCTGCCACCCATCTGACATTGTTCCTCTGACGCGGGAGCTCAAGGACACCACATCCGGAAATCCCGTCAATATTGTGTTTCGGATACGTAGGAAGCAGAGCGGCTACACCTGGTTTGAGAGCCACGGTTCTCTATTCGTCGAACAAGGCAAGGGTCGGAAGTGTATCATCTTGATCGGCCGCAAGCGACCTGTTTTTGCTCTCAGTCGACGGGAACTTGAATTGAGAGGAGGAATTGGAGATGGTGAACTCTGGACAAAATTGTCGGTTTCTGGCATGTTTCTCTTTGTTTCCGCCAATGTTCGGTCGTTGCTAGATCTACAGCCCGAGAACCTGGTAGGAACGAGTATACAGGAACTGATGCGCAAAGAGTCGCGTGTTGAGTTTGGTCGATCTATCGAAAAAGCCCGCAGAGGGCGGACGGTTACATGCAAACACGAAGTACAAAATCGACGTGGTCAGGTGCTTCAAGCCCAGACGATCTTATATCCGGGTGATGCTTCAGAGGGTTCCAAACCAACTTTCCTATTAGCCCAGACAAAACTACTCAAAGCGTCTTCTCGAGGTAGCGCGGGGAGTGCGCCCCTCACAAGTAGGGCGGGTCTAGCAGCTGGTCAAACACCGGGTGAACCTAGGATGGCAAATTTTGCCGTAATACCAGGGGTTCAAGTTGGTGATGAACAACAACCCGCTGATACCAATACGACTCCTGGCAACCAGGATCGAGCTCTTGCATCCGATGACAACATCTTTGATGAACTCAAGACAACACGGTGTACAAGCTGGCAGTACGAATTACGCCAGATGGAGAAAGTTAATCGAGTTCTTGCAGAAGAGCTTCATGGACTTTTATCGAACAAGAAGAAGCGCAAACGAAGAAAAGGAGTGGGTAATGTCATCCGAGACTGCGCTAATTGCCATACCCGCAACACACCGGAATGGAGGAGGGGCCCAAGTGGCCAAAGAGACCTGTGTAATAGCTGCGGCTTAAGGTGGGCGAAGCAAGTAAGTTTCTGTGCCTCATTTGATCTTTCAGTAGTCGGGACTAACCACCATTTCCAGACCGGCAGAGTCTCGCCACGAAACTCGTCTCGCGGGGGCGGTGATACGGCAAGTAAAAAGTCTAGCTCACCCGTCCACGCGTCTCCACTTCACCAAGAACTTTCGGCTGGTGAGGTTCAGAGGCGCCCTTCTGAAGCGAAATCCACCCCAACCTTAACACGCTCTTCCACAAACTCAAGCATGCCCACAAGGTCTAGTAGTACTGGCGTTACCCCTCCAGCCATTATGGGGATGTCGATGCCCCCACCTAGTCAACCTCTTCTAGAGGGCGGTGTGAATAGTAATGAGATGACGGCCATTCAGGAAGAACGAGAGGTCTCTTGATTGGACCGGCGGTTGGTGCGATGTACTTACCAGTTCAATTCCCTTCGTTAATAGGGTCAATCATCTCGGTCTCTCTCATTGTGGTAGCAAAGTCACTACTCAATTCGGTAGTCTTATCTTTGACCTCTATATACCCCATGGATCTTAAATTTCCTTTTTTTAACGGTTGTGATAGAATGGCTTTGTTGGCTTTTGTTCGAGATACCTATTTCCTAGTTAGTCTTGTGGGAAAGGCGGCATAGGAACAATATACGCGGTGTCTTACGGTTTGCTTAAGCCAGATAAATACCCTGACGACACTTATGATCTAATGTGGTCAGCAATATGAATGGATCTAGTTGTTACTTTACGTATATATGTTCCAGTAGAAATCCACTCCCCAAAGCAAAGAGCCCCTACCGACCTTATTGCGAGTCAGACTCATTAGAAAGTCATGGTCTGATACTAGACAATGCCCCGCAATGTATTAACTTGATTTGGTCCATTTGTATTGTTAGATCTCTTGTTATTGTTTATTGGGCTATCTATTCACTTGAAACTTGTCCAAGCCCTCACTTCCGTGGGTCGCGTCAAACGGCGATAATAGATATAAGTAGTTGTGTTTTCGTTGTTGTGCAATTCAACCCTGCTACTATCTCCGTTCTTCTTCGTGTCGCAGTGGAATTTTTGTTGAAGGCGAAGAAGTTGTGATAATCTAGATAGAGAAGTCGGTGGGAAGCGCATTCAAGGGTTCGATTATGCCCATCACACCACATGAAGTTATGCCTGGAAGCATCCAATTTGGTTTCTCCTAGCTTCTCGGGGAAAATCCATCGGCTGACTGGAATATTTGACTTCCACGATGTATTTTAATCGGATAGAAATAGCGGTCTCTTCATTCCAGTCCTTGATACCAAGATGACACCTACGTCATATCTTCAATCTCCGTAACGCCTGAGTGGCCAGTTTGGCGAGCGTGCTGCGTAATAGCCTTCTCACCTTGTAGAATCTCATGACATTGGTTGCATACAACGACGAAGTCGCTGACGCTGGTGTAATAATGGCGGTCGCGGAGCATCTGGCAAATGTTCTCCTGCGTGTGCCGTAGTATGCGTTCATTACCTAATGCGTTCCACCTTGTTACGTCGAACTCTACCATGCCCATAACTCCCTCGGTAGCAGCTTCAGCAATTCGATCATACTATCACCAAGTTAGCGGGACGAATTCGGTCTATTACACACGTAAGACATGACCCACGTGCACGCCAGAGTAGACAACGACGCAAAATTCCTCATGATTTTGCTGTTCACCAAAATGATAGGCCTTTCCAGTCTTCACATCAACGCTGCAGATTTCAATACGGAAGATCTCAGACAAGATGCTGAGCTCGATTCCACCACCCCACATGCCGTTCAGCAAACGGTTGCAATATGTCTCAGGACGGGCTCCTAGGAAATTGTCGTCGAATTGCAGCGGGTTTTCGCGGATAGTATCAACTACCATACGACGCAAGATGGCGGGTGTGTACTCATCAGCATGGTGTGCTATGCCGACTGGCACCAGCCCGCCGAGGGCACCGCCGACCGCTGTGAACATACAATCTCCATCATCAGGCATAACACGGAGAACTGGTATTGCGAAAGTGTGAGCCCACCAGAAGATTCAAGACGTAGTCGACAAGAGCCCGCTCGATGACCCTTCGTTTTCCCTTCTCACGTACCTAGATTGGTGCGAGACTCGGGCATCTCAACCTTGACATCCTCGCCAGAACCATACGATAAGCTGGCAGCTAGCTGTGCATCCAAGTCCACGGCGGGAGTAGCGGCAGATGTGGGAGCAGCGGCAACAGCGGCAGGCGGGTTTTCGACAGGGACGATAGTAAGGATCTCTCTCTGGAGCCCAAGCTCTCGCACTAGCACCTTCAGATCACCTTGCTGCATATCCAGTGTCTGCAGCGGCCAGCCATACTTGATGGCAATGGCACCGGATCCGGTCTCGGCCTCCAATGCAGAAATGAGGTCGGTGACGGTGCTTTCTTCGGGGAGCTCGAGAAACCCCCCGCCCGAGGGACCTCGGAAGCGAATCCTCATCTTCCGAGCCTTGGCGGCGGCAGTTGCTCCTCACTTGACATTCAATGCGTCAAACGTTTACCGAGCGAAGGAAGTGCGACGAGCACCTCTTTTGTTTTCTTTTTTCAGGCAATGGAAGTGACTCTACCGAGGAGCAGTGAATCCGTGGTGGATTAAAGAATATCTATACCTAGCGAGGGAGCAACTTATTCTACCAGGGCCAAGAGACGAAGGGAAGGATGACAAAGCAAAAGACCCGCCACGTCTTGTAGCAAAGAAACTACCTAGGTAGAGAAAGCCTGCTAGATGAGTTGTGAAACAGCAATCGGTGCTTTTGCTGGTAGTCTGTAGTGCATCGTGGGTAGACGGGGGCTAGATTGAGAATACTAGTACTAGTACTACTACTATACGGCAGGTATAGATTTGGGGTCAAAGAAGCCAAATGCGCCGCTTCCCTACCTACCATCTGTAAAGGATACCTAATTAATTACTTAGTGACGGATGGATGACATGCGTTGGGTTGTTCGGCGGGTTCTAGCTCTAGCTCTAGCTCTAGCTCTAGCTCTGTGGAGTCGTCATGATATAACCAGGCACATATCATTCGCACAATTACTTGGATGAGATTACATGCAGTACTACCTACCTACTTGAGTGGTGGTGGTGGTTGTGGTGGTGGTTATTATCACGCATCAACGTTGTTGAAGTTGATTCGGGCTGATGCTCTATTGGGGCCGGCGGAGGCACCGCGCCACCCGCTACATACATACTTCAGTATGTACCTAGATGTAACATACCGGTACATACATACATACATATATATAGGTATCATCTGCTAGCTTAGGTACTTATGTACTTGGGAACTTACCAACGTGTGGCCTACCAATCGCACCTGCAGCGCATCCCTAACCAGGAACACCTTACCACCCTAGCTGGGAGCTTTCAGTTAGGTAGTTTCCCATTTTGAAGTTCAAGCAGTAAAGGCCTTGAACTTGAACCCGGAAAGCACCGCCGCTTAACACTAGATTGTATTGAAAGTGCATACCTTGTATCTTCGTAAGCCTACACCTACAACTCGATAAATTTGCAATGTGTAGCCGCTTGTGGACATAGCCATAGGAAATTCCCCCAAGATTTTCCCACTACGCGCCACGCGCTCGCTATCACGCTACGCGAACAGAAGGCGCCCACTTCGCCGACGACAACAATGGCCGATCCCGCTGTTGACGACAAGCCCACAAACGCAGCCGCGGCTGTGCATTCCACACATGAACAAGCATCCAGTGAAGCCAATCCGGTGCCTGAGGATGCCATGGACCTCGATGAGGATGCCAAACCGAATACCACCGTCAACGAAACCACTGCTACTTCTCGCGGTAACTCGGACAGTGCACCATCCCAACCACACAACCCAGAGCTGCATGCTGAGCGAGACTCGAAACATGAAGTTCAGCCTGACGCCGATACCAAGTCTAGCGACGAAGCGAAGGCCGATCCAACCGCAGACCAAAAGCCAGAATCACAGACAAAGACAGAGGGGGGTGCAGAAGCGGACGTGGATGCAGACGCCGACGGCGACCCAACTGAAGGCAGACAGACGCCGAGTCGACTTGACAATGACATGCTAAATGTCATCGAGAACGTGGCCAATTACTTGACTGCTTACAAGGACGACGAGTGTGTAAATGCTTGCATTAACAATCTCCCCCATATGGTGCTAATTTCTCCCCGCATGGCAGTGGTTACTACATCGCATCTCACTTCCAGCGCATACCCAACCGTCGCCTCGTGCCCGACTACCATGAGGTCATCAAAGAGCCCACCGCCTTTAGTACAGTCCGTGTAAGTCGCAGGGGAGGATGGCCCATCGTGTCAGTTTCATAGCAAACCCACTAACCGATGCATTAACGCCCACCAGACTAAGAAGCTTAAAAAGCAATACACTGCCTTTTCTGAATTCGTTAGAGATGTTGCCCTCATCAGTCACAACGCCCAGGTTTACAACCGCCCGTCTTCTCAGGTCTTTAAGGATGCGCTGAGATTGCGGGAGATTTTCCAAGAGGAGCTCCAGAAGTTAGTTGAGGATGAAATCATTTCTGCTGAAGACGCTGTTCTTCCCGACTTGGGCGAGATTCCGGAGGCTGACGATTCCCCTGACGAGGAGGAGGATGAAGAAATGGAAGAAGAAGATGATGATGAGGATGAAGATGACGAAGATGATGAGGAATCATCCTCTGACGATGATGATGATGATAGCCGGGGTCGTCACAGGCGCAAAGGTCGTGAAGATCAAACATATGGTTCACGAGCCGGCGAGTCGCAGAAAACTCGTGGTCGCCCACCCAAGGTCTTCACACCCGTGGAGGCACGAATCTACAGCCTGCTCCAGGGTCTTCGCAAATTGAAACACCCCAATGGTGATCTTTTAATCTACCCTTTCGAAAGACTTCCCGACAAGTCCAGTAATCCCGACTACTATACAACCATCGCGAACCCAATAGCTCTTGACATCATCAAGAAGAAATACAAGAGGAAGAAGTACCAGACCGTAGATCAGGCCATGCAAGATATCGATATGATGTTTGAAAATGCTAAGGAATATAATATAGAGACAAGCCAGCTATATAAAGATGCTGTGCAATTGCAGAATCATGCCCGTGAGCTTGCGGAACAGGAGAAGACGCGGCCGGACAACGATTTTGAGGACGAGAACGGTCGGCGGCCTGTAGCTGAGATCTATCACAGAGGCGAGACCTGGAGAGTCGGTTAGCATAGCATTCCGCGCAACCCTCTGGTGCAAATTGGTCGAAAAACTAACCTCGAGTGTTGTTTTAGGCGATTGGGTTCATATAACCAATGCCAACGATTTGACAAAGCCCATAATCGCTCAGATCTACCGGACCTGGCAAGACCGTCAAGGACAGCAATGGGTGAATGCCTGTTGGTACTACAGGCCGGAGCAAACGGTGCATCGCCATGACAAGTTCTTCTTCATGAATGAGGTGGTCAAGACTGGGCAGTATCGAGATCACAGAATTGATGAAGTTGTGGATCGGTGCTTCGTCATGTTCGTGACGCGATACGACAAAGGTAGACCCCGCGGGTTCCCAAGGGACAAAGAAGTATACATCTGCAAATCGCGATACAACGAAGAGAACCACCGGCTTAATAAGATTAAGACATGGACGACCTGTTTACCTGATGAGGTGCGCGAAAAGGATTACGAGATGGACTTATTTGACGTTCCTCGGAGCCTTAAGAAGATCCCTAGTCCCATTAAACATCTTCTCCGTTACGATGCCAAAGCCACAGATCCTCTTCCCAAACCAACTTGGGGAGCACCCAATGCACCGCCTCTAGTGGGAGCTGTGCACTGTCGGGAGAGAGAGCCCAATGTAAGCACTCTTTTACAAGCCCTTTTTTTTTTCTGGCCCCTATCTATCCTACCAATGTTACCTCGCCTGCTTCAGGTCCCTTGGTTGCTATGGATCCTAGCTAGAAAAGTTTGCTCTTGATCCTGGTCAATAAGCAATAACGTTGTGCGAGCCTTGATCATTGGAACTTTCCCTACTTTCCCACTGTTTTCCCATTGATCTTGACTGGTCTTATCGGTTATCTCTGACAAACACCACACAATGAACACTGACGGATAACCTCTCTTTAAAGGAATCCCCGCCACCTGAATCATTAACTGCTCCAGTACCAGCCCCCATCGAACCAATACGCCGCCAATCCACGATGCAGACCACTCGCCCTGTGGATGGCCAGGGAGACATCAGCATGAGCAACACCGGACATTTCTCGACTATACCAGCTCAGCCAGCACCCGCCACAAACGGCCATACAGCGCCGGCGTATACGGCTCACTATACGCCGCGCCCTAGCGCTACCCCAGTCCCTGTTCCACAGTATGGCGCTCACACATTCCAGTCCGCGCATGTCCCGACGCCACAGATGCCCCCTCAGGCTCCGCCGTATCAGTCGCATCCACCGCACCAGACACATCAAAATCCAGCCTATAATGGCTTTCAGTCACAATACACTCCCACCCCCGTCCCTATGCCTCCTCAGCCTCACCACGTCCCTCCAAACCAGATGACCAATCCGATCGTGCCCTATGACCCATCACAACGTTTAGCGCCTTCGCCTGCCCGCGGTTCGGTCGTACCGGTACCGAGTGCTAGCACTCACGTGCAGGCCAACGCATACAATCCGCCCCGTCCGATCGAGGTGTACAAGCTTGACGATGCCACTAACGCTAGCGTTCCGGCCGACGTCCGCGAACAATTCCTACGGGATGAAGCAGGCAATGTTCTCTTCTTTACGCAGCCACCCCTTGATAGGGTGCATCGTGGCGTGTCCAACGAGCACGCGAATCTCGGACACAGCGTCCGCTATCTGGCTGATCGGGCGCGTCAGGTGACAGACCGTCGTGCAAAGCGCAAAGCTAGAGATGAGATGCGCAAAGAGGAGGAGGCGAAGCGACTCGCATCAGAACAGGAAGCTGCAGAGACAGAAAAACAACAACAGATAGACTCGGCTGCCAAAATCTTCCTAGGCTGGGCCCAGAGCATCCAAGACGAGGCCGATGTGCTTGAAGCCAGCTACGGCGGATGGGGCGTCAACAAGAACAATGATATTGATGCCGTCTGATTGAATAGATTCACAGTGGGGCTCGGCAGTGACAAAATAGCCAACTCGGTCAAGATGACGGACTAGGCTCGAGGCGTTTCATTGGGGGATGGGGCAAACTACTATGTGGGTACATATATGACCTCAACCTACAACATGCTATCTTTTTGGCATTCATTTTATTATATCACAGCCCCAGAAGACCGGTGATGGTTCAAAAGGGTTCGATATACTATTGAGTAATGTCAATCCTGCATTCTATAATCCAGGTTAGCGTCCAAGGGGGGTCAAACAAAGTGTCTATTCTACCGCCGTTATAAATCCAACGGGTGTTGCGATTGCGTCGGCTTTACCCCACAGAGTCGCCACAGGCACATCAGGATGAATCAATAATGCTCACATAATAGGGAGTATATTTGTAGAATACATTCAGTCTTCCAACCAGGACGCCACGATGCTGAAATAAATATGTGTGTGTATTGATTTTAATTTTTTAAAAATTTTTTAAGGTTCGGGCATTGGGTATCAAATATCTAAACCGGTAACCATACTTATTATTACTAACGCAGCGTTAGTAACGCTGATACCTATTTCAGCATAGGTACTTAAAGGACTGCAGTTATAGGACCCCGAATACTGCCCGAAGACCTGTAGCTTGCCTAAGCTACCTACCTAGGTAGGTAGGTAGTGGTACAGCAGCAGGTCCAGCCTGTGGAGGAGCCTGTGGAGGGCATGCAGCTTGGCCTTATGTAATGAAGCAGGTCATGAAGCAGCTAATCCAAATGCCAGGGTCCGACCGAATGAATCAACGACAAGTGTGGCGTGGTTGATTGTGAGCCAACCAGAATACTTCAAATGCTACCTTAGGTACCTACTTACTGGCAATCCTATAGGCAATCCTACAGGTAATCCTACAGGTAATCCTACAGTTGATTCATGGTTTCTCCCACCTGTCTGTCTGTCTACTTGTCTGTCTACCCGCTTATCCGCCATAGATGGCCAACGTTTCGACGTGACCAAGGCCTAGAAGTTCTCAGCATCCCCGTCGTCGCCATAGTAGCTTCGAACACCGTCTGGCCAACTTCTCTACATAGGTACCTAGTAGCAACCTTTACGCCCAAAGGTACCTATCTACCTTAGGTACGAGGACGACAGTGTCCTCCCACTTGGCCTCTGTCTTCTGTCTTCTGTCCTTGTCTTCTGTCCTTGTCCTCTGTCCTCTGTCCTCTGTCCTCTGTCCTCTGTCAGCATTGCTGTCGCCACCCTTAGAGTCATCGCTACCTGCCACTTACTTCCTACTGTAGTATTCACTACAAGTCACGCTTTCGGTTCACTTATTCCACTTCTATCCGTCCCATCGTCTGTGTGGCTCCACGACTTTCGGACCCACAACGCCGACGACGACAACGACATATCACTCACATCGATACCGACTGCCGCCCGCTCCGCCCAACCCTCCTATCGATCAATCTGCCTCTACCTTGCCTGTTTGTCTATGTGTCTGTCTGTCTGTCTCTCTCATAGCACTACACAGCACTACTGCACGTGGTTTTCTGACTCTACCTATCTTTACCGTGCCCACTACCTCCTCACCTTAACCAACTCTAACCTATCTTCATACGCTGTATCTTGCCTACCTCGCCTTATGACCCGTTGTTCGCAACTTTGAGCTTGCCAGTCCAAGTTCAATTTCCTCTCCGTTTCCGGTGAGCGTTTCACGAGTCACACAAGACCTCAACATGAGTCTCTTCACTCCTCTCCGTCATCACATAAATCTTCCACACACGCCTCACACCTAGCCACCCTATCCATCTTCGCGTAAGTTCTTTGTCCCATTTTCTCATATCTGCCCTTGTACCCGACGGTGCTGTCTGCATATATTACCCCTCTCCCGGATACCTCCACCTAAGCGAATCGGACTCGTGTTTTTGACCATCTCGACTAATCCTCCCAAAGGCACCCTCGAGGTATTGATACGGTATTATATTCCACTGCCATCATCAGATCAGTCATTGGTCGGAAGTGAACCCGTACGCGGACATCGTCGCCACGGTTCATTCGCAACCCTGTTTCTTCTCTCCTTCTTTGCTGGCATGGCCCTCAAACCACACTCCATTCAAGCTTCTACATCGGCGAGCATACTTCATACGAGATCGTCTGACGCTTCCGCATTCTTAAATCCGTACCCAGCCAGTCTCTACCCCACGTCTTCTTCAGTCTCGATATTTGATCGCGCCACCGGCTCGCTAATCATCATTAATCATCGAGATGAGGGCTTCGCCCCAAAGACCCGGGCCTGGTGGGTCAAGAGTTCTCAAGAAGCGGTCTTCGATTCCACGTCTAGGCGACCGCTTGCCCACTGTCTTCACTCATGATGTATCATTTGCCAACAGGTCAGTCAATCCCGCGAAACACCAGCAATCCCAGTCCATTTCCGCTAGCAACCCACCCTCGTCACGTCATCTTCACAGTTTCTCGATCTCCTTGACTAAAGTTATAGTAGCACTGCACATAATGAAGCCAAAATATTTGGCACGCTTACGAGTAGTAATCTCGACCGACTCGCCAAGGTCTCACATTCTAATAGCGACTTGGTCTTGGCTGACACACTTTCGATTCATTCCGATGAGGACATCGTTTTAATCGGCACTCCTAGCCGGTCGATGAAGTCCAATTCCTCTTCACACCACTCTTCTCGAACTAGTACTCCACGGGGCGACGAGACACCACCAACCACACTAACTGGTGATGATTCGTATTGCTCTTCGGATGATGAGATCACGCTTAACCTACCTACTCCAGTTATTGACCAGACTCTCTTCGGCTCTACCCTATCTGCCATTCATGGACTTGATGATAACGAAGTTTTGGACGCGCCCACTTCGAAAATCCAAGAGCCTTCGCATTTTACAATACCATTTTCAGAACCCGCTGATGTTCTCTCTCACGTCCCCCATCGCCCTACCAACAAACTACCAAACCCACTTGAACCGACGCCATTCCGCACTACCGCGAGTACTGTTTCAAACGGGGGAGTTGTCCCTGACGCTGAATCACTTCATGGCATTGTGAGAGGCTTTCTGGCTGCGGGTCCGAGCGCGAAGAATATCTCTCTTCCCATTATGGACCCTGGCGCCCCTGTTACGACCATACCAGTGACACCAGATAGAGCAAAACCATTCTGGGAGCCCCAGCGCATCTTTCAATTCTACATCAAAGGCGCAATCACGCCTGAAAGGGCCAAGGAAACCGCCAAGCGCTATGGTTATCCCTACGTCATCACCGTCATTGAGAACGTTGAGCACCTGAAGCAGACAAATCCGTCTCTTCATATCTCCGACATCGTTTCCAAGGCTTCCAGAGAGAGAAGTCACGAAGATCTCGTCCAACACAAGCTGGTGTCATCTGTAACACGGCAACAGAATTGGAGTAATATTGAACAGCAGAGGTTTATGCTCAAGTTGGCTAAGTGTTGCGCTAAAGATAACACAACTGACACTCCGAAACCTTTGCACATTTTTGTAGACATGTCTAACATCCATATTGGGTTTTGCAATTCTTGGAAAATCTCCCAGAATATCCCAGTTGATCAGCGTATCCGTGCCCCAACTTTCAATTTCAAGGTCTTAGCTTTTATAATCGAGCGTAATCGAGCGGTTAAGAAAAAATTCCTCGCAAGCTCCGTCGCCAGCCATGTGATTAGCCGGGCACAGTGGCCTCAGCATTTTATTGATGCAGAGGGGCAAGGATATAAGACAAGTATACTCAACCGTGTACAAAAGGTCTCGCCCGTCAAGGTTGGGCGAAGACACAAGGCATCTCAGCAAGTGCCTGGCACTGTTCATTTCGCCAGTACGGTCACCAGTGGTGAAGAGTCAGGCGAGGATGTGGCCAGGATCGGCTATGAAACCAGAAATGGTGAACAGGGAGTCGACGAGATCTTGCATTTAAACATGATGAACAGCATAATAGACGATATCCACGAACCCGGCAATATGGTACTCGCAACAGGAGATGCTGCACAGGCAGAGTTCTCTGAAGGCTTCCTGAAGTACGCCACTCGTGCCCTTTCTCAAGGCTGGAATTTGGAGCTGGTTACTTGGAAAAGAACCATCTCTTCAGCCTGGGTAGATCCTGCATTCATGAACGAGTTCGAAGGGCGCTTCCGTATTATTTACCTAGACGACTTTCTCGAGGAGCTTAATGCGGATCTCTGTCCTTCATTGGCGCAGCGTTTGGACCATGTTGACGTCATTGAATCTATAACTTGAAGTCAACCAGATAATAACTCGAGGACTAAACTGTGTTGTGGTAACAAGCACACAATTTTTCCTCTCGGTTATGTACCCAGACTCTAGGCTTCAGTATTGGGCGCCGGCAAGGGAATTTCCCCTTTGACTATCAGCCCAAGATATGTGCTTACCGTAACTTTTAGTAACGGGTGGTTGCTGATTTCAGCTTCGTGGCTATCATATGTTACCCGGTCGCTGGTCAGCACTTGACGACAAGATGTACTCGGCTCATGCACGGCGCGAGCCGATCGATCGAATCTCGAAAAGCCCCCCTGTTTTGCATCTACCATTACGTATACAAAACGATTCTTAAATTTTTTAACACGAATATTTCGACACAGCATTTGCACAACTTGCTTTAAATAACGATCTGACGATATTATCATGATTTTATGGCGTGTCTACGCCTTGTGACGTCTCCCGACGGTAGAGAGGTCGCGATAACCTAACCACGGATAGATTTCTTTGCTCTCTTGTCGGTGCACTCTTGACTGGGCAGACAGACAGCATTGTCTGTCGTGCACTTACTTTGTCTCATCTGGGAAGATAGGGGGTTGAGGTCGTTAGATTAAATCAAATCATCCATCGGTATCTTACAGGCGTTTTAGGTGGCAGAGGAACCCAAAGCAGTGGTCTCGCTACCTCAATAGAATTACTCACGCGACTTATCAATCCGTCATGATGTTCTGGCTGGACTAATCAAAGACTAATCTAGACACTGGTGGAATGTTACGGTGGGAGGAGGTCTTGGAGTCGTACAGCTTCGTGCATAAGGAAAGCATTTGGAGCAATTTCGTTTCCATTCGGTACTGTATGGGGATCTGACAAGTAACTACTTGTCACATGGAAAGGATTTGATAGTGTTTCTTGCTCGCATGCATAGTCATCTAAGAATAGTACCAGTTCTGGCGTGTATTTTATTAGCACGATTCAGCCATGGAGTCTTGATCAGAATAATATTCGATTTCTACTTGAATAACTGAAGCTTGTCCTATGCTAGGTTAATTCAGCCGTCTAATTAGTGTTTAAGACAGAATCCTACCCCCCCCCCCCCCCAGCATTGCTACTCTGCCGATTATTGGAACTTTGTGTTCGCGCTGTTGAACGCGTCGCGACCCGGGGAGGGAGTTGGTTTAAATCAGTTTTGCATTTTTATGTAATTGCCTTTGTTTTAAGCTTTGTGTTACCGCGTTCCTAAGGGCCGGGGGTTGTATTTTTTATATTAAATGCTTACTATTACTATTTAGTTATATATAATTAACCTTAAAGAGAAGCTATTAAAGAGCATTATTAATATATAATTTAATATAATTAATTATTAAGGTTAATAATTAATTAAATTAAAGTAATTAAATTAATCTTTAATTATTTAACGTATCTCCCACTTTACCTAGCTACCTAATTGAGCTGGCCACTGTAATAACCTATATAAAATTCCATTATTTCAATCTATAATAACTTTATAAATATTAATTATATAATTTAATAATTAATACCTTTAAATCCGTTATTTAAAGGAGAATTTTATTATAGGTAGGTTAAATCTTAAAAGTTAGGTATAATATTATAAGTCTCTTCAGTTTTATAATAGGTATTTAATAAGATTAAAGCTTAAAGAAGGGAAGAATCTCCTTCGAAGCATATATAGGAAAGGTACGTAATATATATAAAGTATATATATTCTAAGGGCTTTAGGATATTATAATATAATAACTATTTCTTTTTTTTTAATTAGGTTATTTTTAACTTAATATATAACTAATTTATTAATTAAATATAAAATAAAAAGTTTAATTATATAAGTATATAGTATAAAGTGTTATAATAAATATATTAATATAGTTTATTTATATAAAGCGTTATTATAATAAAGGTATATAAATATTAAGTTTATATTTATTTTATAATTTATATATATTATATATTGTTTTTATAGTAGAATTTATATATATATTTCTATTAATTGTTTATTAATTCTTTTTCTTTTTTTTTTAACTATTATTAAATTTAAAAATTAGTTTTAATTAAAAATTATTATATTACTTCTATTTTTACCTTATTTCCCTCTTTTTTTTTATTATATTTATATTATTATTATTATTATTATTATTTAAAGTATACCTTTTAAAGGTAAAAAGGGTAAAGGTAAAGCTTAAGCTTAAAAGAATAACTGTATTATATATAGCGGTAAGGGTAAAGCATTATTATTATTACTATTATTTAAGCATAATAAGGATATAAACGAAGAATATATTAATAATAAAGTACCTATATTATTACCGCTAGCATTATTAATTGTTATGGGTAGGTTAAATTTTAAAGGTTAGGTATAATGTTATAAGTCTCTTCAGTTTTATAATAGGTATTTAATAAGACTAAAGCTTAAAGAAGGGAAGAATTTCCTTCGAAGTGTATATAGGAAAGGTACGTGATATATATAAAGTATATATACTTTAAAGGCCTTAGGATATTGTAGTATAATAACTATTCCTTTCTCCTTAATTAGGTTATCCTTAACCTAGTATATAATTAATCTATTAATTAAATATAAAATAAAAAGTCTAATTGTATAAGTGTATAGTATAGAATGTTATAGTAAACGTATTAATATAATTTATTTATATAAAGCGTTATTATAATAAAGGTATATAGGTATTAAGCCTATATTTATATTATAAATTGTATATGCTATATACCACCTTTGTAGTAAAATCTACGTATATATTCCTATCGATTGTTTATTAACTCTTTTTCTTTTCTTTTTCTTTTTTTTTTAGCTATTGTTAATTTTAAAAATTAATTTTAGTTAAAAACTATTACCTTACTTCCGCCTTTACTTCGTTTCCCTTTTTTTTTTTATTATATTTATATTATTATTACTATTGTTTAAACTATACCTTTTAAAGGTAAGAAGGGAAAGGGTAAAGCTTTATTACTATTACTGCTATTTAAATATGATAAAGATGCGGATGAAGAACGTGTTGACGACGAAGCACCTATACCGTTATCGCTAGTATTACCAGCTCCCCTAGTACTACTAGCACTACTACCAAGCGGTAACGATAATAATGGAAAGGGCGGTTTAGGCTAGGACTATGGCAAATCTACCAACCTTCCGCCTAATAATTATTTAAGCTATAGGGGTAACTTAGATATTAAGGATAAAAACCCCTAAAAAAAATACAAGTAGTCTGTAAGGATAAAAAATTGGCGCTATAATAAATATATCGACCCTATAGCTATATTACCTATTAATATATTATGGTTATATTAAGCATATTAAATATGTATATTAATCTAACTTTAATTTTTTGCTTAAATTTAATTATTTATTTAATAAATCTAGCTTTACCAATTATTACAAGTATATTAAAGTGTACCGAATATATAAACCTATTAATATTTTCGTACTTATATTATATATAAATTGTTATTTATTTAAATTTAACTTCTGCCTATAATGGCTTTTAAAATTATCCACCTTATTAAACTTCTTAAATAAAGTTAATAGGCATTTATACCTAAAATAATTATTAATAACATTTAAACCGTAAATAATAATAAAATAGGACTTTAATCCAGCCTATTTGAATTTTGTACTAATATTATAGCTATTTAATATTACCTTATTAAATTATATTTATACCTCCTTTTAACTTATTGGAATTGTTTTAATATAATTAATAACTAAATTAATAAAAAGGTATAAAACTGTTTTATACCTATTTTAAATTTATTATATATTATAATAACGTTATACTTATATTTAAATAAAAGTATTTGCCTAACTATAATTATATTATTGCTAAATAATAATCCATTACCTATAATATAATTATACTTATTCTAATTAATGTTATAAATAACTTTACTTTGTACTCTTTTCGTATGCGTTTCTAACTTAAGTAAAATGCAACTTAGCGCCGAAGCTACTTTTAAGCAATTTCTTTATATATATATCTATAGGATCCCGGTTCGATTATATAATGCATCTTTATTTTATTATTTATAGCAAAAATAAAAACTTTTATAACTAAATAATATAATAATGCCCAATGGGGCAATATTTATAATTGGATAAAACTTTATAATATTATTAATTTTAATAATTATTAAATTTAACCCTATTTTATATATAGCTTAATAATAAAGCATAGTAATTCTTTAACTTTAAAGGTAAAGGTTTAATTCCTTTTATATTAAAACAATTAGTTTTATTTTTCTATAATTAGTTAAAGATTTTTAAAATCCTATTAAACTTGCTTTATATCCTATATTAATAGTACCAAATACAATTTTAATTTATACCTAATTTATTATTTTTTAATTTTTCTTCTTTTATTTTTAACTTTATCGTTTTTTAAAATCTTTAACTACCTTTAACGCTAAAATGTTAAATTATAATACCTATTAATTATATTTAAAAGGCTAGCCTTTTTACTTAACCTTATAGTATTAATTTTCATTATATACTATTTTACCTATTATATCTTTAACCTTCTATTCTTTTAAATTATCTTCAAGGTTTAGTATAGGTAAACTATATTTATATTTAATAATCTAAAGCTTAATTAATTAAATTGGAAAAACGGGGTAAAAATAAGTATATTATAATAGGAAATTAATATAATACGCCTATAAACTAACTTTACCTATAATTCTAAAAGGTCTTATATATTTAAATACTAACTTTTTATAACGAAACCTTATATTCTTTATTAATAATACAATTAAATCTTTAACCTTAAAGATTATTAGTTTATATTTATTATTATAATGTTCCGTATATTATTTTAATATAATTTACCATTGCTCCACTATTTTGTTTTTAATTGTTTTTAACTTATTAAGTTGTCCTTATATAGTTGGGATTCCCTTTAGTGTAAAGTTATCCTTAACGAACAATTTAAATTTAGGAATATAGTTATATAGGGCTTTAAAAGGTAACTTTTTAATTGTTAAATTAATTATTAAGTTTA